ATAGATAGATAGATAGATAGATAGATAGATAGATAGATAGATAGATATTATAATTAACGTGTCAAGACTATTCGCTGCAAAACCCAGGTTCGAGACCCACCGGGAGTGCTGATGAGACCCATTTGAGGTAAAAGCTACGATCCACTCCAGTCTGGAGGAGAATATCTTTTATGAAGCAATGCTACTTAAGCTAAGATAGAAATGTGAGACCTATTTATATGGTTTTGAAAAATTCAACAAATTTTATTACCTTAAACAAAACAGAATAAACACAGTTTTTATAGAATAATTTTGTTAGTTCATTTTTATCTTACTCAGCGTACCTATACTTTAATCGTTTGTGTGTGTATGTATGTAAATATCTACACGGAGTAGCCGGCATAACTCAGAATAATTAGAGAAGATATTCCTTCTACACAATTGCTTTATTCACAATAGCAATTCTACTTGGACGAGGTAGCATTTGGAAGGAAAACTGGAATGGAGTTAATGGGCCTACCAATAGTATTGTGAAAACAAACCTAGTCATCACTCCTTAGGTCGCTTCAAATGATTTGTATTCACTAATTACTGATAGTTGCAAACCTTATTAATAATAAAAAAATGTTAGCCTTGAATCTCGTTTGCAATGCAGACAAGCTTGTAGGCCTACTTGGAGATAAGTCCTGAAGTAGCCTTGAATGTGTTCTACAGGTGGGATTTCGGCCATGATCAGCATGATCACAACAGACGATCGGCGGGCGACAGTTTTTACCACCGTTTTTGTACCTTTTTTCTTGCTCCCATGGGCACGATGCCACGTACCTGGGATTTCGACAAGTATGGCTTGCATTTGTCAATTTTACCTTGAGCACAAAGTGGAAAAGCATACTATCCACCAAATCAAACCAACCGGGACCCACGGGATCTCCATCTGGACACTGTTGTGTTTGCTTCGAAGTCCTCTTAATCTCGTCTCCAGACGCCGCTTTACGTATCCCCAACACTTCTGATAGACCATGCAAGCGGCTTCATATTCTTCTCTCCGCTCTATCACCCTTTCGCCTCGATACACAGGCTTGTTTGTTAGAGGTGAACCCAAAATGTACAAACGTCGATGAAGGCTTGAAACACCCTACAGATCAGACTCAACGGTAGACCCATTGACGCATCAGGATCGAGGAGGCATTGCCTCTGAGTCTGAATCGGAATTCTCCTCTTTCGAGTCCCGCTTGCTGGAAGAGGCTGTACTCAGGCCTGACTTAGAATGTGGAATTAGGACCGAAATCACAGAGTCACAGTGATCCCATCCTATTTCACCGTCTAGCCATTGGCCAACACCCACCTCGGAATGAGTTTCCTCCCTGTTTTACACATCCCATCGCCGCTTCCGCGTTCAATAAAAACACACGCGCTACTTACCCATCATGTGTCCATGGCCCGAATTTCAATTTGCAGGCCTGCTTGTCAAATGGGAAATATTTGATCTGCACAGAACAGGTGCTCTTGTAGATGGCCATCGGATGCCATTCCACAGTACCCTTGTAGTTAACACGAACATCGCTCTCACGTAGCTCCTCCAGACGCTCATCGGCACTTGCAAAGGTGAGAGATAAAAAAATTTAAGGCTTGATTAATATATATATTTATATATATTTACTTTACACTTATTATTAATCATCATCATCATACATACAAGGCTAAGTGATGTGCATAATTGAATTGCTACACGATTTGAGCGCCAGTCTCATGAAAGCATGCCTTGTCATCGTCATTATTTATACAAAAAGATCATATCATACACACAAGCATGCACACATTCACAGTATGAATATCGGTCACTCTAGGTCGGTAGGGGATGTTCCCACAATAATAATAAATAAACCCCACAAATGAAGTTCATTTTGTAAATACTAAGGAAAATTGAGTTTCGTAGAGACTCTTGAGTCGAAATTGTTGTGTTTGTTTCCATTTCGAATGAAATTGCGTGATGAAGAGATTCGAAGACGACAGTTAATTCGCCTATACTCTACGTGAATATTCTGATTGACATTGTGTATTTCATGGAGCCTATCAGACTCATGCACCCAACCTTGAAGAGTACTCGTACATTATTAAGGAAGTAAACCTTAGTCTTAAGACTACTTAACCAATCTATGAGTAGCAATTGCTTCAATGTTAATGATAGATTTTATAAACGGGTGTAAATACTTGGAATGGGATCTTCATTGACTGAAACTTCGAAAAAAACTTACATGTCAAGAATAAAGGGCGTGCGATGAAGGATGATTATTTTGCTATTTAGTAGCTTGGAAAGGATAGAATAGATAACTTTTTATGCTTACTTAACCAGACGGATAGTCATATCAAGTTCGAAACGGAAATAGGATAGGATTATAGTTGACTACTTTTGGATATTTTGGTTAGCAAAGCAAGAGGGAAGTTAGACAGGGAAGTCTATAGGAAGAGAGTACATGTTAGCTTTTTCCTTTACTTTTCTTCTTATCATAGTAATAAAACGAGGATCGGCATTTTAATATCAATGGTTAGTAAACAATTATTAAAACGTATATATGATGGCTTGGTTGCCGATTCCTTTAAATGTAGCAATTGGTATGATCTTATTCTCGCAATCTGCGTCCTCTGCCCAAGTGTCCATGATAATTTCCTTCATGGAACCGTTGATTTAGTTTAGTACCAAATATTTCGCCGGTATCATCAGTGAGGGGCGCGAACCTTAGAGCTGAGTTACAGCGTATAAAAGTGACAAGTGACCGATTTTTCGTTTATATTGTTTCTAGGGCTTCTGGGACTAAATCAGCATTTCCACTTCGCGAAATTTTAAAGGTCATCTCTTGAACATGGAAATCCCTGTCTATAAAGCCTCATTTACGCCATAGTCGAGGATTTTATCACATGACTAGCCTCGAAAATTTGAATGAACATGTGCGGTGGCCTTAGTCAAGACCGTTCTCAAATCGTGACTTTCAAGACTATAGATTTCACAAACCCTATTTCCCAGTTATCCATTACGTATCCTCCATCGTATTCTCTCACAACCTCTGAGGCCGTGAGCCTGACTTCATTTAAGGCCGCTAATTTGGATATGTGTCGCTTAATTTATTAGCTTCTGATTCTGAGCCTTTTCTCAGTCTAACATGTGTATCTTGATATGAAGACCAAGATGGTGTGGACCTCTGTATGCCTGAACTCTCCTTTTGATTTTTAAAAGTAAGTTGATCTCGTTTTTGCAACTTTATCTTGTTATCAGGGTGATATAGTTGAACGCAACTTGTCCGAAGTCCTCAGCCCTAATAGATATCTTAACGTCTGAGACTGTACCAAGTCCACAGTTTGATGCTGGGAATTATGACTACTATGGCAGAGGACTTCGGACAAGGTGCGTTCAACTAAGTCGCCCTGGCAACAAGACCAAATTGCGAAAACGATGTCAACCAACTTCTCTGTGTATCATAATTAATTAATTCCCTTGGCAGGCACTGAACCACCTCTCACCACGCACAAATAGAAACGCACGCGAACACTTGACTTATGTATTGTGGGTCAGTGAATGTTGTGCCCCCAACCTTCTATCCAGCACCAAAGTGAATTTAAAGTAGATCTAGATTCGGAACTTTGCCAATTATAAGATTTCTGCGTCCAAAAGAAATCCGCCGTCGTCTTCTGGTTGGATCAACCAAAGCATCTTGTCATCAAATACTTTTACTCGAAGTTGAGCATTAAAAATGGTGTACTATTCCTAGGTTTATGATCAATCGTTTCTATATTCCCGGGTGAACCTATCCCGGGAACTTTTTTGAGTGTGCTTGCTTTCATTGTAACTGTTTCCATTTGTGTTTCAATATATTCTTCTTGGCGAGGCTTCTTATTACTATTCTTGTAATTTCTTTCGTCTAGAAATCTCCTTTTTCTGTTCTCGTCGAATTTCTAGCTTCCTCGAGTTTATTTTTCGCATTCACGTATTATTTCGAGACTACCAGTAAATCAGTAGTATAAGATGTATCCAACAAATTTCGTTTAAGGTGATGAAGGACTGGTAGAACAATTTTTCCATAATGATATGAGTTGAGCTGGCGTTTCCATTGAATTTCACATAGCCTTGCTTTCCATAGCCTTTCCTTTCCACAGGCACCTGTGGACTGCAGTTTCGACCTTGCATCGGTCTTTTCAACACCCCCAGCGAGAGTCGAACTGTGACAGTGCAGAATGGGAACTTGACACGTTAACTACTCTACCACATTGCCACTAGTGCCTTTGGGTCACAGGGCAAATGTGAATTTCAAGGAAGGTCAGGCCTTTTTGCCATATCATATTCTTTGGTGGGATTGTCGATGAAGCAAACGTATATTTGCTATAGCAATCGACTGCGTTACTTTATTTTTCGAATTTAAGTATTGTTTTTCAGCCTACCAGTAAATCAGTAGTATGAGATATATTCACCCGATTTCGTTTAAGGTGATTAAACGTCAGCTCTACCCATATCATTGTGGGAAAATTCTTCCCAAATTTGCCTAAACACTACGCGAAATTATTGCTCACCATTTCCTCTTCCAATCTCCTGTTAATTAGGTTCCTTTAAAGGAGGATGTCCATAGCTTCCCGGATCTTCCCTTTTCTTGTATTTTCCTCATATGAGGCTAGCAAGAGAGTTGTTAGCCAGTGTACTGTGTTCGTCTATCTCCAATCCTTCTAAATCAACGATTGTGCAGTTTAGCAGATGAGCCCGTTCTGCTGTGGTTACTTCCCTTTCTGTCTCTCTACATTTTACTTTTGTTATGGCCTTTGTAAATGATTCAGATGACTTTTTCATGACGTGCAGGTAGGTTAGTAAAGAGAACTGCCCTGCTTTGTAGGATCGTAGGAATATTCCATTTCATTGCCAGCGGCCGTAGCTTCCTAACCAGTTTGCAGAAGGGAGGTTGCTTTATTTTATTTTGGATGACAGTTTCCAAGACCAATCCGAGTTGGTTTGTACCAGTTCATCCTTCCAGAACTCAATATCGATTAGTCATGGGCTTCTTAGAATCATTCTTTAGTCTTTAATTATGATGAGACTAAAAATTTAAGAATATTTATTCCTTCAAGTGAGCCTTTTCTGAACAACCTTTTCTTAAAAGTCTTCTTGGAGCAAATAACCTCTCCATCCAGGAATGATAAATGCTCGGTTTCTTCAAACTTCATTGCAAATTTGACTTTTTCACCAAAATCGCGCTCAAAAAGTTAAAACCTTATTTACTTTTTTGTTCCCATGCGACCATAGTGCGAAGTTGTCATCCAGATATCGCATGATTAGTGATAAGTGC